TAATTTTCCTACCGAATGGAAATTTATTTATTTATTTATTTAGTCTGATAATTTACCGGCATTTTATTATTATTATTATTATTTTCTTTTGTTTTTGGCCATAAACAAAAGAAATTTTTTTTTGGCATAAAAACGTTAATTATAAATTATAATTTAAAAAAAAAAAAAAAAGAGGTTAAGGATGTTAGCAAGGATTTAATAGTTATAATAATAATAATAATAATAATAATAATAATAATGATAATAAAGGACTTTTATTTATGTAATTTTAAAAAAAAAAATCGTTAATAAATAATAACCACGTTTTTTTAAAATAATACAAGAACGTGTTAAATAAATAAATAAATAAATAAATAATGGAAGATGGGTACCCTTACAAAAATTTCTTTTCTTTAAAAAAAAAAAAAAAATAATTTGGCAAAATAATATATTATTATTTGCACGGTTGGATTCGTCCTTAAAATAAAAAAAAATTATTACGACAATATTTAAATTATTATTCGTTAATAAATAAAAAAAAACAAAACTTATTTATTTATTAAAGTTATTAAAATAAATAATAAAAAAAAAAAAAAACCATCGGAAAATTTTCAATTTTTTTTCACATTTGACAACTTATTTTGAGTTTTATTTATTTATTTATTTATTTTTTATTTATTTATTTTCCCCCAATTGATAAATTTATAATTTCATAACGGAAAATCAACTATTATTATTATTATTATTATTATTAAAAAAAAACGTTAGAAACCTTGTAAAAAAAAATTAATTTATATAGTAATTAATGTGTGTGTGTGACGTCAACAACAATTTTTTTTTTATTATTCGTACTTCGAATTTAAACAAAAAAAAAAAAAAAAAAGAAAAAAAAAATTACTTCTTGGAAATTATACCTTTTATACATAATAATTATTATTATTACGGTTATTATTATTATTATTATTATTATTATTATTATTATTATTATTATTATTAATTAAATCCACGTTTACGTTCGTTCACTTTTTAAAAAAAAAAAAAAAATTATTATTAAACTTTAATAACGTTTACTTGCCTATTAAATTTTCGCCATTTTGAAAAAAAAAAAACAAACTAATATTTAAAGTATTATTATTATTATTATTATTATTATTATTAAGGTTATTTGAAAAAAAAATAAGTAAAAAGCGTTATGTTATTTTTATTTATTTAAATAAATTTTATGTATGTTTAAAATTATAATTACACGTCATATAAGTACACAAAAAAAAGTCTTAAAAAGTCCGACAGCAAAAAAATAATAATAATAATAATTTTGTAGTTTTTTTTTTTTTTTGCTGTTAATAAGAAAGAAAGAGATAGAGAGAGAGAGAGCCTTAGGATTGGCACAGTCTTTTTTTTTTTACCGGAAAAAAAAAATAATAATAATTTCAAGCTTTTAAATCTTCACCGTCACTTTTTTTTTCATCTTTTTTAGGTTCTTCAGTTGTTTCTTCCTTTTTAAAATCTTTACCCTCCGTTGGTTTCATATCGTCGGGTTTTTTAGTACCTTTATCACCATCCTTTCCGGGTACAACGGGTACTAATTGTATAACTCCGGGAACGCTATGATAAATTATATTATGGGGTACAACTTGCGGAAAAAATTGCGGTACGAAATGTTGTTTGTAAAACGTCGCGTGGACTTGAGGGAATGGATGGATGACGGGTGTGAATGTTGCAAAAGAATGATGAGCTATCACATTTCCAAATGGGGTAAATGGGTGTCCTATGTATCCGGCATGGGTAATTGTTATGTAGAAATATATACAACAAAAAACAACCTGAAACTATTTAACCCTTTGCTATTTAAAGAGGAAAGGTTTCAAATAAAAAAAAAAAAAAATTTCTTTTACTTACCTTCATCTTTGATCGACAACCAACCAACCAACCAACCAACCAACCGATATGACCGAGTACTAACTTATGAATAAAATCCAAACCTTAAACGCGAGATGTTTTATATATGATTTTAACTTTTTTTTTCTTGCAAATCTTCTATTCTATGTAAAAAAAAAAAAAAAAAAAAAAAAAAAAAAAACCTTTGCTACCACGCCCTATTACCCGGCATCATTTAAATCCCAACTTTTGATTCGAGAAGACAAGTTGACAAAACATATTATTTAAGAAGAACGCCTTGAGAACTTGATTTTATAGGAGATTTTCTACACTTTAATTATTATTATTATTATTATTAATTTTACTTCCGACCAGATCGTGGCGATTAGA